AGACTAGGACCAGACCTGTTCCGTTTATATCCTAAGCTTGCTCGACACTCACAAGTTACCGAATGTGCTCTAATCACAACAATGACTGTGATAAGCTGCTCCACAGACTCTTAGTTGACGTGATCATGTTTGCGCAGAGACAAGGTAAGTCAAGAAACTCTTTTTCACGACAAGTGTCGGTGACTGGCACAAGGGTTTTCCTAGTGGATCGCTTGATAAAGTTCTCAACCGAGAGAATATGCGTTGACCAACGATAGCACTGAGAATGCAAACCTCAAAAGTATTAACGTGCGAAGAGGGCGACGACGGCATTTAACCCCACGCGTTCCCCAGGGCCAGACACGCCCCAATTAGTTGGCTGCTCGTCATTCGCGCCTCCCACGTGTACTCAGCCCATAAACATACGAGTGGCACTCCCCCAACATTGTGATCGTATCTTCCTTAGCTATTCTTCGCAACAGTAGTTGATGGAAGTTTGTGCACCAAGGAACCAACGAGGCTAAACAAAGCTGATGACGCCAACCTCTCGTTCACACGCAGATCCTTTCACGAAAGTCCGACTTCGCTTATCCCGTTTGTCCAGCCAACTCAAGCACTACATTCTCGTTCAGCCCATAGCCATCTCATAAGAAACAGCGCCTCTTAACCCTCTCCGTGACCGCTCTGCGTGCTCAAGATAAAGGGGACGACTGCCTTGGCACACTTTGCGCGTGGTCCATCCTTTCTCTCCATAGCCACCCAGTTCTGTATCCGCACACGTCATCCTCTCAACATAACTGCCCCTTTTCGCCTCGTTATGACTTAGCAAGAACGACCTCGTCAACCGCATCTTAGACGCGTTACTCAATCTTCGCAGACCCTCCGCCTCTCTCGTGCTTTCTCTCCCTCACTCATGCGTCCCGTCGCGTCGCCTCGCGTGGACTCTGTCTTCGTTGTTGGAGCAAACACCCTTACAAGGGTATTTGCTCATGGATTTGCATTCGATACAGTAGCGACGTCGGTTACCGTACCGGAGATGGTCTGAAGTAAAAAGTGATATTTTTTTTGGCGTAGCACTGTCAAGCAGACTTCTCGACCATTGAGGCCGAGGTTGCTAGGTGACAATACGCAGTGATACGACGCATACGACAACCGGTAGGGGTTAATAAAAATTAAAAGTCTCTGACCGCAAGGGCCGGAGGGTTGGAAGAAAAATAAGAAGGGTCGCACGGGATGTGGCGACCGCAATTTAAAACCGTTAAAAGATCAGACGGAAAGACAAAATGAATTAGAACAAGTGACGGGGCATCAGTCCAACCAGTATAAGAAAGTCGGCAGGTTGCACAACCGTAAAATCTAAAGACGGCTAAAAGTTTAACTCTGGTCATGCAGCCGGGCAGTTAATAGAAATATGCCACTACCACACCAATCGGCGACGACCAGTGTTGGGCCTCTAATAATGACAACTGTTGTCTTCTTTTGCGAGGCCTTAAGTGTCGGGCACATCTTTCTCCACTAAGGGTGATATCGACTTACCTCCAACTTGAGTTTATTTTTCACTAAGTGTCGCATGTCCTTTTCCCGTCGATTGAGTGTGTTCCCCACAGCGACCCTCAATGCCACGGCCACGGATGAGTACCGCCCCTTCAAGCCCACCGATGAATCAAGTACCCTTGTGGGTCACACACACGATCAGACCGGCAATACACTCAGACGAACACACGAACCAACAAGCGTACGCACCCCACATAGAGCTAGAAAGGGGCCCGGTCCCCCAGTTAGGCTCGGCCTCACAGCTGTACTTATACGAGAAATGCTCCCCTTCTTTTTGAAGTGGGAGCTAGCTCAGTAGGTTCGGGTCCGATCTATCAACCCACAGACTCAGGGATCGAGTCCGCCTGACCCTGAGCTAGCTCTTTTTAATAGGGAGCAGCACTGCGGCCACCCGTTTTCACCCCGCACGAGGACTGGCGGGTCTCGAACCTGTGACCTCAGATTCGAAAGTAGTTAGAGTTAGTGTTTGTTAGCCCTCTGAAAACGAGGGCATTACACTTGGCAGGTAGGAGTAGTTGGTGGTTAGATTCTTTCTTTTWWTTTWTTTTTWTTTTTYTKTTWTTWKTTWKWTKTKWKWTTTKTTTTTTTTTTTTTTTTTTTTTTTTTTTCTTTATTCATTTATTTCCTTCTCTTTGATCTCGGAGCTGCTCTCTAGTGAATCCGCCTTTGCTAAACGGGCAGATTCGTTTTCACGAAATCCGCCCTACTATGAGCCTGGTGACCGAAGCTTTGGTCCGCGTGCTCGGGCTGAGCACTCGTCGAAGGGAAGAACGCGTATGTAGCAACGCGCGGACGAAGAGTGCAGCAGAAAGGTGAGAGGGGGATATCGAGAAAACAAAAGGGAACAGCGCACGAAAGGCAGGGTGCAGCGAGGTGAGAGAGGAGCACTTCAGGGAAGGTTGGAAGAGAGAGCTGCGCGGGGGTAGCACATGCCGGTTGAGAGTGCGCGCAGGGAAGAAAAGCGTGCGAAGGCAGAACAAGAGCGCAGCAAGAAGCGGGAGGCACGACCCAGGGAAGAAAGAGAGGGGAGTATGGGAAAAGCAGAGAGAAAAGCGAGCAGGCGCGGGAAAATGGCGCAAGCAAGCGAGAAGGGAGGTGGTCGCACGGAAAGAAGGGAGGCGTGCAACAAGGAGTAGAGGAGAAAGAGGATAAAGAAGAAGAAGAAGAAGAAGAAGAAGAAGAAGGAGGAGGAGGGAGGAGAAGAAAAGAGAGAGGAAGAGCGCACTCGCCTGGCCAGGCTGTCGAAGAAGGCGACATACCAAGCATGCAGGTGATGGAAGAAGGTGCCCATCACCGACTCTCAACTTCGGCACCCTCATCCCGTAGGTTTCGGGGAGAGCGGTTGCAACTTAGTTGTGGTGTTGTCTTCGTGTCCGCACTCACAACGGCGTGTTTCGTTTGAAAGGTGTCGCGACTTGGTAAAAAGGAGGACGTGAGGAAGAAGGGAGGCACACAAAGAAGAAAGGTGGAGAAGGAGAAGTAGAAGAAGAAAGAAGAAGAGGAAGAAGAGGAAGAAGGGGAAGAAGAGAGGAGGGGAAAGGGATTCAAAATGGGCCTGCATCCGCTACGTACCATAGGCGAGGGTGGAGACCTCTCGAGTGCATGATGTGTCAACCGAGGGCGCCGTGAGGCTGGCTGCGATCCGCCCAACCGGTTGGAATATGGGCTTGAGACTGTCGTCGTTCCCAGGCTGTGGTCTCGGTATGCTGCACGTCATGACGGAGCGTGTTGCAGAGAGTGCCGAGCTGTCTACTGACGACGACGACGGCGACGGGAAGAGAGAGAGGGACAGGTGAGCCTCCGATCTCTCAGCTGATCTCATGGCACCAATATCGATCGGATGAGTGAAATCTAACGGATCTATCACGGGAACATGGATATGTACGCTGCTACGTGTATGTGTGTGTGAGTGAGTGGGAGAGAGAGGGTTCTCATCGATAGGATGAGAGGAAGCGATCGAATATACCGCTAGAACATGGAAATACATGCTACCACATTCGTTTGTTTGTGTACATATGTGTGTGTGTGGATATGTATGAGTGTGTAAGTGTCGGGAGCATGACGGAGTTTGTGTCACTACCATCAATAGGGTGAGCAAAATCGAATGGATCTAACGCTAGAATACGTGTGTGTGTGTGTGTGAGAGAGAGAGAGAGAGAGAAAGAGAGAGAGAAAAAAAAGAATGAGAAAGAAAAGATTCACCTTGTCGCCGGCTGGTCGAGGTTGCTGCGGTCTGGCGACCAGCCCGAATACTACACACTTCCATTCGAACTGAGTCAAACCAGGAAGAAGGGTAGTATACATTTATTATTATTATTATTATTATTATTATTATTATTATTATTATTTCGTTTTAATGTTATTACTATTATTATATTATTGTCAATAATATTGTTATTATTATCATTATTATTATTATTATTATTATTATTATTATTAAAAATGAATTGCTCGACCCCACCTCTTCTACTTACCTTATGAGAGAATGGAAGCATGCGGGATGTGTGATGCATCCATCGAATGACGCTGCAAGGCCGGATCCATCACTCGCCCGGATTGTTAGAATGCGTGCTTGTGCCTGTCATGACCCCCATGTTGTGGTCAGGGACTCTCGGTGTGCTGTGCGGTGTGGAGGACCGTGCCCGTGTGCCGTGTTCCCGGTGAGAGAGAAAAAGACGGAGACAGACAGGCACGAACAAACAGAGAGACGGTGACAGACAAACATACAAACAGTGTCGGAGGGACGAACAGACAGACAGACAATGATTGACAGACAGACAAGACACGCAGTCAGACAAACACAGGCAAACAGGCAGGCAAAAGGATAGACCTACAAACAGGCAGACTGACTGCGATAGACAAACACAAAGAATGGGATAGCAGGAAGGGCTCATAAAGGTGCACGCGCGGAGGTAGAAGAAGGAGAAGAAGAAGAAGAGGGAGTAAGGAGGAAGAAGAATGAGGGAAGAGCACTTACCTAGTCGTGATCGCAGTCAAATTAAGCTAGTCTAATGAATCTTTCCATGTTCTAGCGGGGGACTCATTCCTGCTTGTACAATCGGAGTGGCGCAACCGTGAGGCAGGTGGGTGTGCGCAAGAGAAACAGAGAGAGTGAGAAGAAGAAGAAGGAGAGAGAGGGAGAGAAAGACACAGGAAAAAAAAAAAAAAAAAAAAAAGAGGGACAAACAAGAACAAACAGACAGAGGAGCATATAGACAAAAACCAAGATATGCAGAGACAAACAAATGACGACAGACGGACGCAGAGGTAGATAAACACAGACAGACAGACAGAGGGAGATACAGACAACAACAGACATACATAAACTGACATATCGTCAGACACATAAGAAACAGACTGTCACAAACAAACAGGCGGACAGACACAGACAAACAAACGGACAGACTAGACACAAAGAGAGAGAGGTTTGTGCGCAAACATACCTATGTGGATTTGTTGTCATCACACATATGAACATCTTCGCAGGCTGGCAAGATTTCAGTTTAGATGGAAGATCACAGTTAGTCGTGTCTGACGCCCGTAGTTTCTAGAAGCTATCGAGAAATCAGCGCAACAGCGCGGTCTGGTCGTTGTTGCGCTTATGAAGGAAGTTGTAGCGATACCGCCCGATGGCAGCTCTGTCTGTTGTAATCTCATTCGTGTTTGCCCGCATGGCTTGGGCCATTGGTACATAAACACAACGCGCATAGGTGAGGTTCATGTCAGCGCATTCTGCAACCAGTTTCCTGACCGCTCATGCAACCCAGGCCAGGGTCCGATTTGCACGGATTGCATGGGATTACTCGGCACTGCACGGGTTACGAGAAACCAGCGATTGATGACAAAGGTCGGTGGCGAATATCTCATAATCCAGGCAAGTGGGACCTCGCCCCTAGCATGGTGGCCGCGATTTGGTCGATTCGTGTGTGCGTGTGTGTGTGTGTGTGAAAGAGAGAGAGAGAGAGAAAGAGACGGGCGCCTACAAACCTCTGTAGCACAAAACACACAGACAGCGCTTTCGCACGGCTCAGAGGCAGAATGAATGAATGCCCGAACGCGGCCTCTTGATTTAAACTTTGGATCGTCAAAGGTCTGCCCTTGAAATGGCGGGCACGGAGTGCACACAGTCTCATATGGTACTTACTGACTTGACAAAGGGGCGACCGGGACGGGGTACCGCTGACTGGACTGGGTAGTACTGCCCACTTGACCACCGCCTACGGACAACGGCTCACAGAGGGCCAGTTGCGGATCTTCCGGAAGACTGTATACATGACCTCTTGGTATTGTAACAACTATAACCCCTTCGACTACTGAGACCTACGATTCAAGCTCACACAGGTCAACTGATACTGTGCATAGGTAAGGGCGAGACCTGGGATCGGGCTTGTGAACTGCATCTGCTACCGTAAAGGTGAAGAGAGGAAGAGAGGAAGAGAGAAAAAGAGAGGAAGGTGAGGGCGATAATGTATGGGCACGTACCTGGTCTTGGTGATAGTCTACAAGGGCCGACATCTCCATGTACTTTTGTTCAGCTGTTTGCGTCAACAGTTGCATTATCAATTCATAAGCTGACAGCGGCGGCATAGTAGTCTGGGCGAAAGTGGGGCTCAAAATACTTATGTTGGCCCGGTGATAGAGCGAGTACGCTTCCGCTAACGTTCGGATTCGGAACTTTGGTTCTCTGTGGGTGGAATGACAACTTTCAAGAAACGTCTGCGTTCCTTGGCTCTCAGTAAAAGTTTTGTGATCTTGAATCTGTCATTTCGCCAGCTGCCCAATTTTTTATGGTTATTATTGTTGTTATTATTATTATTATTATTATTATTATTATTATTATTATTATTATTATTATTATTATTATTATCATTATTATTTTTTACTTCTATTATTTGCTTATTATTATTGTTATTTATCGTTGCTGTTTATTTTGTTACTGCCGTTATTCAATATCTTACGTTAAGCAGAGGCCAAGAGTGAAGAGAATGCGGGGTATTGGAGAGGAGAGAGACACTTTCATAGTGCCTACCTCCTCCATCCTCCTCCATTCTTATCCTTGAGGCACCTGACTTCTCGACTAGAAGTATCTTTTGATGTACATCCGTTGAGGATAACTTTGGCTTTTGCTAACTTTAAAAGATCCAGAGAATCAATTGCATAGATCATACGTGACTGAATACAGGGCGATTGTGGGAGCTCTGCCGGAGTTAAGGAGGAACTCCGGAGGCAGGGAACCATGAGGTACGCACAGCCTATCCCTTTCCCATATACCCTTACAGGCTACGCCCTTCTATTGGACTGTTTGTATGACTATGTGATATACTATTCGTATATTGTTCAGGACCAAGATAATCAAAAGAGAAAGATAATATATGATTGAAATAAGAATCCTGCCTGGTGAAAGGAAAGGAACCTAAATTCACCAAGAAGGAACCTAGACTGATTGGACTTGAAGAACAAAGTAGGGCGATGAAGGCTCATGTGTGAGCCGTGGTGCTGCTTATGTATGCGCTGACATGACTAAGGGTTGGAACTTAGGTATTCATGTATGAGTTACCTTACCATCTGTCGGATCGACTGTCGTCGTGACGAGCAGAGGTGTCTGACATTGACATATGAACTAACTTAGGTACTCATGTGTGAGTTACCTTGCTAACTGCCTGATCGACTGTCGTCGTGATGGGCAGAGGTATCTAATAATAAATTATGAACTAAATTCGGTACTCTCTACCGTAACGACTGTCGTCGTGACGGGAAGAGGTATCTGACAATAATTTATTAGCTTAATTAAGTACTCTCAACCGTAACGACTATTGTCGTGACGGGAAGAGGTATCTAACAATAACTTATGAACTAAATTAGGTACTCTCTACCAGATCGACTGTCGTCGTGATGGGGAAATGGTACTAACAAATACTTATGAACTAAATTAGGCACTCTCTACTGGATCGACTGTCGTCGTGATGGGGAAACGGTGCTAACAAATACTTATGAATTAAATTAGGTACTCTCTACCCGATCGACTGTCGTCGTGATGGGAAGAGGGTTCTAACAATAACTAATGAGATGATATCTACCGGATCGACTGTCGTCGTGACGGAAAGAGGTGCTTGACACTAACTTATGAACTACTCATGTGTGAGTTCCCGTACCGGATCGACTGTCGCCGTGAAGGGGAGAGATGTCTGACACTTGGAAATAACAAAGGGAGGCTCTTGTGCGGGTCTCCCTGTTAGCCTACCGGACCAGTCTCCGAAGGTGGTAGAAAATTCATGTATGGGTTGGACACTTGCTCTTTGAGGCTGGGACGATTAGCATAATCAGAAGGTGGCGGTACTCCTGTGTGTGCTACCTCACCATCTTCAAGTTGATTAACTAGGATCTGCTTGTTGTGAAAAGTGAAGTCAGGAAATTTTGGTTCTAACTTCCTTTCTTATTAATGGCTCAGGAAGTTTCACTTATTCAAGGTGTAGTAGCGGGCTCCAGGGAGGGTCATCCTATTCACACGCTTGAGTCTAAGGCTGGCTAACTACCTGCAAAGAATAGGAAATCACATTGCAAACTCTTTCTTTCCTATCTTATTCACCCTCGGGCAGTTCGACCACCAGACCGGTAATAGGAAGGTTTCTGTAGGAGTCATCCTATTACTTGTTTAAAGAATGGACTACTCACTAACCAAGGAAGTAGTAGGGGGACCTCTGTTGGGGTCTGCCTATTACCTACTTGATTCGGATAATAGCTTACAAGGGTGAAGGGTGCTCCTATAAGAATACCCTAAACATGGTCTTCTGTCCAAACTAACCCGGTCTCAGGACGGTCGGCTTCGGAAGGGCAATAGGGTACCCTTGTCAGGATTATCCTAATGCTCTCATGAAGTGGACCTTGTCACGTGATAGTAGGAGGCTCTTGTGCGGGTCGCCTATTATTCACTCGAACCATTAATAACCTCTGGGAGGGGGTTGACATCCAGGTCTTTCAGAAGGATACCTAAAGCAAGTAGTAGGGTGCTTCTGTAGGAACCTCAACTATTTGTTGAAGGAAGAATACTCATGTGTGAGCTATCCTGCTACTCTGATTAGATCAAGTGGGGCTAAAAAGGGGGATGAAATACTCATGTGCGACTTACTCACGTGTCTGTTCGACTAACATATTGCTTGGTATTGGTCAAGTAGAAGAAGATTCATGTCTGCGTCGATCTACTACTTGAGTATGTCAGGACAAATTGAAGAGAAAGGAAAGAACAATGCTCCTGTTGGAGCAAGGTCTTCACATATCTGGAAAAGGAACAAGGAAAGACGATAGGACCGCGAAAAAAAAAAGAAAAAAAAAAAAGAATACTAGTAGAAAAAGAGCTACCGCGAGGTCCGTGTCCGTTTACGGCTTTCGAATGGAAGGCCACAACGATGAATGAGTTATATCTGACCTACGTAAGCGCCAAACGGTGCGCTTATCTCCAAGAGAGAAAATGCAAGGACTGAGAGTAGGGGAAATATGAGTTTCCTTAAGACGACTTAGGACACAAGCATAAGACTCCTTGAGTGAAAAGGAGAGAGTGACAGACGGCTTAGGGTAGGGTTGTGAGAGTAAAACTAGGGATTAGACCTGGGATGTTGATCCCATAGCTCACTACCCATGTCTGAGGGCTTGACCCTTAGATATCAATATGTGAGAAATCGAGTGGGGGTGTTGAATCTTTGTTGACCTGTGTGTGTGCAGGTCCCTGTTTATCTACTGCATTTCAAGGAAGAGGACCCAAATTTCTATTATCTTTCGATAACAGGTCGGTTGTTACCGATTCAACTTTTTCCTTTTGACTTGATACCCACCTCTAAAGTCAAACCCTGTGGTCAGTAAAACTGTCACCTGTGGTCATTGCCTAAATGACCCTAGTCACTCTCAAGGGTCCTTTGAAGAAATGTGAGGGGGCTCGGCTTCATCTCACGAAAGATAAGGTTGTCATAAATGGTTTGGGAAGTGAGGGACAAGGTCAATGGTTGATGGTTGACGTCGTTAGTGCATGGCATGTGAACTGCCTTTGCATTATTCTGTGCAGGTCTGTTTTGTGCGTGATTTTGAATTGAACTGGACCTGGTTTGTTGAAGAGTCTCGGAGACACAACACTTGTGAAAGTGGGAAGGGTTCTCGATGATAATACTTCCTTATTCATCATATGTCCAACTTAACTTCTATACTATTCTGATGTTCAGCTAAGTCATAACCTGTTAAGAGAGATAGGACGCCCTTTGGTAGAAAGAAGGTTTGATTGATATTGGTCAAGAGGATAATACATTACGCAGTAGCGGAAATAGACTGCCTTTTAAAAGTTCGACCTGACTATCTAAGGGTCAGTTCTAGGCGCCTTACCGCGCGTACCCCATTTTATGCTACAGTGATCAAGCAAACGCCCTCGACAGACCTACCTCTACAAAGGCATGTAAAAGCCTTCGCATGTGGGTCGGTAGCTCAACAGGGATACGCCTACCTGAGGGTGGTGACAACCCCTCGGGTAGAGGTAAGTTGTACCTCGCGGCTCCGCGACTTGTCGTGGGGTGTCGTGAGAGTTATAGATGGCACGCACGGTCGGAGTGGTGACGTGTTGTTCCTAAAAAAATAAATCATGTGTGACACGACCGTGAGGTTCAGCGCTCCCAGCGGGGTGTGGCACCGCCGCGCGCGACAGGTGGCGCTGTTGCCGGGGATCTTCGGTTGCCTGTCGGGGTCCTATGTGAACGGACCTGGGTCTGGTTGATTGAAGCCCTAGCAAAACGACAAACAAAGGATAGACTACTGTATATCCTTCGTTAGTTAGTAAGAAAACTACTGAAAGTAATTGTCGGTCTGAAAAAA